GCCCCCCATCCGACCCCTTTGAAAAATCCATTTAATATGTAGTCCCCCAATGGGGGACGTATCAGATATTAAACTGATAAGAACAGATACTACACTTGATCTTAGCCAAAAGGCCGAGAAGCGATAACCCACAAATTGAACCCTGCACCCGCCGGGCACCCAGGGGTTTTAATCAATTTGTCTGTCATATGATGAAAAGTACAGGCCTCTCATCTTTTTAAGTGGGAGAACTTGCACAATTGGTGGCTGACTAAATACTATTTTTTTTCCCCCACTGTATGTGCAACAAGCCCAGCCTCAGACACATTTTCAACATACACTAGATATAGGCCTATAGATAGGTATACACTGCTCAAAAAAATAAAGGGAACACTAAAATAACACATCCTAGATCTGAATGAAATAATCTTATTAAATACTTTTTTCTTTACATAGTTGAATGTGCTGACAACAAAATCACAAAAATTATCAATGGAAATCAAATTTATCAACCCATGGAGGTCTGGATTTGGAGTCACCCTCAAAATTAAAGTGGAAAACCACACTACAGGCTGATCCAACTTTGATGTAATGTCCTTAAAACAAGTCAAAATGAGGCTCAGTAGTGTGTGTGGCCTCTATGTGCCTGTATGACCTCCCTACAACGCCTGGGCATGCTCCTGATGAGGTGGCGGATGGTCTCCTGAGGGATCTCCTCCCAGACCTGGACTAAAGCATCCGCTAACTCCTGGACAGTCTGTGGTGCAACGTGGCGTTGGTGGATGGAGCGAGACATGATGTCCCAGATGTGCTCAATTGGATTCAGGTCTGGGGAACGGGCGGGCCAGTCCATAGCATCAATGCCTTCCTCTTGCAGGAACTGCTGACACCCTCCAGCCACATGAGGTCTAGCATTGTCTTGCATTAGGAGGAACCCAGGGCCAACCGCACCAGCATATGGTCTCACAAGGGGTCTGAGGATCTCATCTCAGTACCTAATGGCAGTCAGGCTACCTCTGGCGAGCACATGGAGGGCTGTGCGGCATCCCAAAGAAATGCCACCCCACACCATGACTGACCCACCGCCAAACCGGTCATGCTGGAGGATGTTGCAGGCAGCAGAACGTTCTCCACGGCGTCTCCAGACTCTTGTCACGTCTGTCACATGTGCTCAGTGTGAACCTGCTTTCATCTGTGAAGAGCACAGGGCGCCAGTGGCGAATTTGCCAATCTTGGTGTTCTCTGGCAAATGCCAAACATCCTGCACGGTGTTGGGCTGTAAGCACAACCCCCACCTGTGGACGTCGGGCCCTCATGGAGTCTGTTTCTGACCTTTTGAGCAGACACATGCACATTTGTGGCCTGCTGGAGGTCATTTTGCAGGGCTCTGGCAGTGCTCCTTCTGCTCCTCCTTGCACAAAGGCGGAGGTAGCGGTCCTGCTGCTGGGTTGCTGCCCTCCTACGGCCTCCTCCACGTCTCCTGATGTACTGGCCTGTCTCCTGGTAGCGCCTCCATACTCTGGACACTACGCTGACAGACACAACAAACCTTCTTGCCACAGTTCGTATTGATGTGCCACCCTGGATGAGCTGCACTACCTGAGCCACTTGTGTGGGTTGTAGACTCCGTCTCATGCTAACACTAGAGTGAAAGCACCGCCAGCATTCAAAAGTGACCAAAACATCAGCCAGGAAGCATAGGAACTGAGAAGTGGTCTGTGGTCACCACCTGCAGAACCAGTCCTTTATTGGGGGTCTTGCTAATTGCCTATAATTTCCACCTGTTGTCTATCCATTTGCACAACAGCATGTGAAATTTATTGTCAATCAGTGTTGTTTCTTAAGTGGACAGTTTGATTTCACAGAAGTGTGATTGACTTGGAGTTACATTGTGTTATTTAAGTGTTCCCTTTATTTTTTTGAGCAGTGTAATTACTTTATATTAGTTTAAGATCTTTAGATTATGTTAAATAATCAATATATAGTTATAATTTCTCATTTGATTAGGTAAGACATTTTTAATATCATTAGTTTATTCGTTTTTTAAGATTTTACATTTCATTGATTGGTTTCCTTTGCTAAATATCCAGGCAGTCTTTCAATGTTAATATACGATAGGCCTACAAACTGTAAAATGTTGTAAAAACAACTTTGTCTTAAGTATCAGTCAAGATGTAATGCCTACATTTGCTTGTTTCAACATACTATTGTTGAGTGGCAAGGAGTTGTGGAAGCTGCTCCGGGACAGTCAAATAAGAATCTATCATTAATATAATTTACATTTTAGTCATTTAGCAGACGCTCTTATCCAGAGCGACTTACAGTTAGTGCACACATAATTTTTTTTTTTTTTCATACTGGCCCCCCGTGGGAATCGAACCCACAACCCTGGTGTTGCAAATGCCATGCTCTACCAACTGAGCTACATCCCCTGCCGGCCATTCCCTCCACTACCCTGGACGACGCTGGGCCAATTGTATGGCGACAAACTTAGTTTATTAGTCATTAAAATAGGAACGTTCTTCTCAGTATGATTTGGCTTGATTGACATCAAATGTGAGACGAACTCCAACGTTTTTATCTCAATATAAAATAATTTCTGGGTAACAATTAAGTACCTTACTGTGATCGTCTCTTTTTGACCATTTTAAGTGCCAACTAAAATTGCAAATAGTAATTCCTCAAGCAAGAATTTAGTTAGGATTGTCTGGAAGTGGTCTGAGTGGGGAAAGGTAAACTGAATATTAGCGGTTGTTGGCAGAGAGGTTTGGAACTCCTTATTGGTCTATAGCGCCCCACAGTGGAGGTGTCTGTCCATCGCCGTTGTAATCTACTGGGAAGCCAAAATGTTCCCAAACTGGTGATTTAAAACGATGGATCCTCCGATTCTGGTTTACCGACCGCACCACTCACCATTGTACAGAACTAGTTCCAGCCTGCGCCTCACAAAAGGACAGTTTTAAAATTTGCCAGTTAAGATTAGAATCTTGATAACGTGCGTTTAGGCTCTATTCGGTTTAACAGAACAGTCTGAAATGTTTTCAGCTCAGTCACTCAAGTGATTGTAGACTGTAGCGTCAAATCAAGCTCTGCATCTCTCCCAGACCGGACTTTAAAAAAAAAAAACTCTCCAGACAGAAACTTCATTTCAGCTTTTATTGAAAATGACACCTCATTTCTTGGCCTTGAAGTATTCCTCAATGACGTCCTTAGCTTGAGACTCCTTGCCATAGTCCTGTAGAGGGGGTGGAAAAGGGAGACTGTTACACAGGATTTGGGGGGGGGGGGGACATTTCCACAGGATGCTAGCTACAGGATAGTTCATTGTTTAGAACCAACCGATAACATTGAAGGGTAAAGTGTCCGAAATAGCACCCTACATATTGAACTTAATACTCTAAAGCAGTGCGCTACACAGGGAATAGGGTTCTATTTTGAACAGAGTACTAATGTTCCATCCCAATCACTTCTCTCCCAGGTAACTAATTCAATCAAAACCGGAAGTGTCATTATAAAACATATAAAATGTCTGGATTTGAGCAGCATGAAAATTCACACCTGATGCTACCTGAGCCAGATATTAAATACATGTTATGAGCCCTACATTAACATTTTATGAGCCCAAACCCCCCCCCAAAAAACAAACGATTGTGCCGTTATCCAATACATATGATATAGGCTGGCTACTGCACATTACGCACAACAGAAAAACCTTAGGATGTAGCTAGCTGTATAAAGCCCATAGATGTAGCTAGCTGTATAAAGCCCATAGATGTAGCTGGCTGTATAAAAGCCCATAGATGTAGCTAGCTGTATAAAGCCCATAGATGTAGCTAGCTGTATAAAGCCCATAGATGTAGCTAGCTGTATAAAGCCCATAGATGTAGCTAGCTATATAAAGCCCATAGATGTAGCTAGCTATATAAAGCCCAGATGTAGCTAGCTGTATAAAGCCCATAGATGTAGCTAGCTATATAAAGCCCAGATGTAGCTAGCTGTATAAAGCCCATAGATGTAGCTAGCTGTAGAAAGCCCATAGATGTAGCTAGCTGTATAAAGCCCATAGATGTAGCTAGCTGTATAAAGCCCATAGATGTAGCTAGCTGTATAAAGCCCATAGATGTAGCTAGCTATATAAAGCCCATAGATGTAGCTAGCTATATAAAGCCCAGATGTAGCTAGCTGTATAAAGCCCATAGATGTAGCTAGCTATATAAAGCCCAGATGTAGCTAGCTGTATAAAGCCCATAGATGTAGCTAGCTGTAGAAAGCCCATAGATGTAGCTAGCTGTATAAAGCCCATAGATGTAGCTGGCTGTATAAAGCCCATAGATGTAGCTGGCTGTATAAAGCCCATAGATGTAGCTGGCTGTATAAAGCCCATAGATGTAGCTGGCTGTATAAAGCCCATAGATGTAGCTAGCTGTATAAAGCCCATAGATGTAGCTAGCTGTATAAAGCCCATAGGTGTAGCTAGCTATATAAACCCCATAGATGTAGCTAGCTGTATAAAGCCCATAGGTGTAGCTAGCTATATAAACCCCATAGATGTAGCTAGCTGTATAAAGCCCATAGATGTAGCTAGCTGTATAAAGCCCATAGGTGTAGCTAGCTATATAAACCCCATAGATGTAGCTAGCTGTATGCTCTCTTGGGTAAATAAATGAAACTAGCTCCAGTATGCTAAACTTTTGAGTGTGGACTGTATTCTATGGACTGGAATCACGCACATCGTTCAAACCATGAGACAGCAGAAGAGAACATGTGATTCTGTACTGGTACCCCCTGTATATAGCCTCGCTACTGTCATTAGTTATTTATGCTGGGAAAAGGGAGTGGTTTCGGGCCGTAAATCCCAGTCAATTTCAGTAACCGCGTTCCCGCCCTTCAGCCCTAGTCGGTATGATAAAAGGTAGATGGACATACGGTGGTCAGTATGTTTAAAAAAAGGGACATGTAGCCATTCATTGGGACCCCAGGCACCACAGCGAGGCGTAGGGGCTCGTACCCTGGCAGACACTCTGGCCAGTTGTATAGGACAAGCAGCTGCATGGCACCGACAGCACAGCAGCTGCACTCGACCGGCACAAACAGCGATGGGGTCGACTCATAACCCGCCGCCCAGACAGGGTCATTAAATATTGTGTGGCTGAAGGGCGGGCGGCTCGAATAAAGATAAATAACTTAAATCCTTAACTATCATTCTTGTGCAATTTATATCTATATTGAGATTTTTCATTCATTTTTTTTGGCTATCTGTTATTAGTGCATAAGACTAAACTTTAGGGATTAACTGTACGTGCGTCAAATCGCCTACACAGCCAAATACTGCTTTTGGGATCGGGAAGAAAAAGTTATCAATCCACGGAAGGCAAAAAGGACATTGTTGAAGTGTCATTCATTAAGACAAAAGCTGGAAAGGAGAGTTGAAAATTAGGAAAAGTAATTTTGGAAAATATATATTAGCGGATTAGGCCTCAGATTTTCACTATCACAGTTGGGCAGTTGTGGATGGGTTATGAGCAATTGCGGGTGAAGAAACAGGGGGGGGGGGGGGGGGGGGGCAGTATGAAAAATGTATGCACTCACTAACCGTAAGTCGCTAAAAAAAAAAGTAACTAAAATGTAAAATCACAAAAGGAGAATTCTAACACATTCTATCCTGTCTATGACATCACATAGGGATCACAAGGAGCATGCCAACTCCTCACAACCCAGTTTATGACATCACAAGGAGCAGTCCAAGCCCCTTCCATTAATACCCTCCATGACTTCAGTGGATTCAGATCATCCCCTGCAAGCTGAGAAGTTTCCAGAACAGGGCACTGGGTTTATACCTTGATCACGACACAGCTGCAGCCCACCACCTTCCGGGGTTTCCCTTCCCGGTCGATCTTACACAGACCGACCCACTCGCCCAGCTTCTTGTTGTCATCAACCTGGTGGTCAGAGACAAGGGAGGAGGAGAAGGGGTTCAATACACGAGATTTGAAAAAGCTGTGCTACCACCTAGTATCTCCACAAGGCAGTAATAGCACGACTGCAGTACCCACTGTTTTATGGGGTGTCCCCCAAATGACACCCTATATAGTACACTACTTTAGACCAGAGAATGGCACCCTATATAGTGCACTACTTTAGACCAGAGAATGGCACCCTATTCCCTATGTAGTGCACTACTTTTGACCAGAGAATGGCACCCTATTCCCTATGTAGTGCACTACTTTTGACCAGAGAATGGCACCCTATTCCCTATGTAGTGCACTACTTTTGACCAGAGAATAGCACCCTATATAGTGCACTACTTTAGACCAGAGAATGGCACCCTATTCCCTATGTAGTGCACTACTTTTGACCAGAGAATGGCACCCTATTCCCTATGTAGTGCACTACTTTTGACCAGAGAATGGCACCCTATTCCCTATGTAGTGCACTACTTTTGACCAGAGAATGGCACCCTATTCCCTATGTAGTGCACTACTTTTGACCAGAGAATGGCACCCTATTCCCTATGTAGTGCACTACTTTTGACCAGAGAATGGCACCCTATTCCCTATGTAGTGCACTACTTTTGACCAGAGAATGGCACCCTATTCCCTATATAGTGCACTACTTTTACCTAGGGCCCGGTTTCCCAGAATAATTGTAACGCTAAGTTCACCGTTACAACCTTCGTAGGAGAATCATGAAATCTCAGAGCTGTTACACAAAACCTTCGCTATTTTAACGTTGCACTTGAAAACACTCGTAATTTAAGAAACGCCTGCCCCCAGAACAAAGTTTACTACAAATAAAGTTGCCAAATGTCTTTGTAATTGACACAAACAAGATGCTTCAAATGAAAACCAAGAAGACTGCATTAAAAATATTAAACAGTAGGCTATAGGCCAATTACAATCATATTGAAATACATTTGATGTTAAAAATCAATTGAGTTCTATTTTGCTACTTGTAGGCTACTGTGCAATTTGTTTCATGAGGTGAATAATGACATGTCAAATCTGTGATTTAGAGCATTATTGGCTAAGCGTTAGAATCAGCCGTCTCAACATTTGCAGGAGCTGATCCATCAATAGAAATAATTAAAATGTTAAAGGAAATACTTGAATGGACCAAACTGATCCGAGAGCAGCTCAGATGCCATACTTAGTGACCGTTCTCTCGCTGTGGTGTTTTGGGAAATACATGCTACGTCGTTGGCCGTTGCATCGTTAAAAACACTAGTAAAACGTTTGGCAGTATGCTCAGTAGGGTAACGATGGCAGTATGCTCAGTGGTCAGTAGGGTAACGATGGCAGTATGCTCAGTAGGATAACTATGGCAGTATGCTCAGTAGGGTAACTATGGCAGTATGCTCAGGGGTCAGTAGGGTAACGATGGTAGTATGCTCAGTGGTCAGTAGGGTAACGATGGCAGTATGCTCAGTAGGGTAACGATGGCAGTATGCTCAGTGGTCAGTAGGGTAACTATGGCAGTATGCTCAGTAGGGTAACGATGGCAGTATGCTCAGTAGGGTAACTATGGCAGTATGCTCAGTAGGGTAACTATGGCAGTATGCTCAGGGGTCAGTAGGGTAACGATGGTAGTATGCTCAGTGGTCAGTAGGGTAACGATGGCAGTATGCTCAGTAGGGTAACGATGGCAGTATGCTCAGTAGGGTAACGATGGCAGTATGCTCAGTAGGGTAACGATGGCAGTATGCTCAGTAGGGTAACGATGGCAGTATGCTCAGTAGGGTAACTATGGCAGTATGCTCAGTAGGGTAACTATGGCAGTATGCTCAGTAGGGTAACGATGGCAGTATGCTCAGTAGGGTAACGATGGCAGTATGCTCAGTAGGGTAACGATGGCAGTATGCTCAGTAGGGTAACGATGGCAGTATGCTCAAGGGTCAGTCAGTAGGGTAACGATGGCAGTATGCTCAGTAGGGTAACGATGGCAGTATGCTCAGTGGTCAGTAGGGTAACTATGGCAGTATGCTCAGTAGGGTAACGATGGCAGTATGCTCAGTAGGATAACTATGGCAGTATGCTCAGTAGGGTAACTATGGCAGTATGCTCAGTGGTCAGTAGGGTAACGATGGCAGTATGCTCAGTGGTCAGTAGGGTAACTATGGCAGTATGCTCAGTAGGGTAACGATGGCAGTATGCTCAGTAGGGTAACTATGGCAGTATGCTCAGTAGGGTAACTATGGCAGTATGCTCAGTAGGGTAACTATGGCAGTATGCTCAGTAGGGTAACTATGGCAGTATGCTCAGGGGTCAGTAGGGTAACGATGGCAGTATGCTCAGTGGTCAGTAGGGTAACGATGGCAGTATGCTCAGTAGGGTAACGATGGCAGTATGCTCAGTAGGGTAACGATGGCAGTATGCTCAGTAGGGTAACGATGGCAGTATGCTCAGTAGGGTAACGATGGCAGTATGCTCAGTAGGGTAACGATGGCAGTATGCTCAGTAGGGTAACGATGGCAGTATGCTCAGTAGGGTAACGATGGCAGTATGCTCAGTAGGGTAACGATGGCAGTATGCTCAGTAGGGTAACGATGGCAGTATGCTCAGGGGTCAGTCAGTAGGGTAATGATGGCAGTATGCTCAGTAGGGTAACGATGGCAGTATGCTCAGTGGTCAGTAGGGTAACTATGGCAGTATGCTCAGTAGGGTAACGATGGCAGTATGCTCAGTAGGGTAACGATGGCAGTATGCTCAGTAGGGTAACGATGGCAGTATGCTCAGTAGGGTAACGATGGCAGTATGCTCAGTGGTCAGTAGGGTAACGATGGCAGTATGCTCAGTAGGATAACTATGGCAGTATGCTCAGTAGGGTAACTATGGCAGTATGCTCAGGGGTCAGTAGGGTAACGATGGCAGTATGCTCAGTGGTCAGTAGGGTAACTATGGCAGTATGCTCAGTAGGGTAACGATGGCAGTATGCTCAGTAGGGTAACTATGGCAGTATGCTCAGTAGGGTAACTATGGCAGTATGCTCAGTAGGTAACTATGGCAGTATGCTCAGTAGGTAACTATGGCAGTATGCTCAGGGGTCAGTAGGGTAACGATGGTAGTTATGCTCAGTGGTCAGTAGGGTAACGATGGCAGTATGCTCAGTAGGGTAACGATGGCAGTATGCTCAGTAGGGTAACGATGGCAGTATGCTCAGTAGGGTAACGATGGCAGTATGCTCAGTAGGGTAACGATGGCAGTATGCTCAGTAGGGTAACGATGGCAGTATGCTCAGTAGGGTAACGATGGCAGTATGCTCAGTAGGGTAACGATGGCAGTATGCTCAGTAGGGTAACGATGGCAGTATGCTCAGGGGTCAGTCAGTAGGGTAACGATGGCAGTATGCTCAGTAGGGTAACGATGGCAGTATGCTAAGTGGTCAGTAGGGTAACTATGGCAGTATGCTCAGTAGGGTAACGATGGCAGTATGCTCAGTAGGGTAACGATGGCAGTATGCTCAGTAGGGTAACGATGGCAGTATGCTCAGTAGGGTAACGATGGCAGTATGCTCAGTAGGGTAACGATGGCAGTATGCTCAGTAGGGTAACGATGGCAGTATGCTCAGTAGGGTAAACGATGGCAGTATGCTCAGGGGTCAGTCAGTAGGGTAACGATGGGCAGTATGCTCAGTAGGGTAAACGATGGCAGTATGCTCAGTGGGTCAGTAGGGTAAGCTATGGCAGTATGCTCAGTAGGGTAACTATGGCAGTATGCTCAGTAGGGTAACTATGGCAGTATGCTCAGTAGGGTAACTATGGCAGTATGCTCAGTAGGGTAACGATGGCAGTATGCTCAGTAGGGTTAACGATGGCAGTATGCTCAGTAGGGTAACGATGGCAGTATGCTCAGTAGGGTAACGATGGCAGTATGCTCAGTAGGGTAACGATGGCAGTATGCCTCAGTAGGGGTAACGATGGCAGTATGCTCAGTAGGGGTAACGATGGGCAGTATGCTCAGTAGGGTAACGATGGCAGTACAGTATGCTCAGGGGTCAGTCAGTAGGGTAACAATGGCAGTATGCTCAGTAGGGTAACGATGGCAGTATGCTCAGTGGTCAGTAGGGTAACTATGGCAGTATGCTCAGTGGGGTAACGATGGCAGTATGCTCAGTAGGGTAACGATGGCAGTATGCTCAGTAGGGTAACGATGGCAGTATGCTCAGTAGGGTAACAATGGCAGTATGCTCAGTAGGGTAACGATGGCAGTATGCTCAGGGGTCAGTCAGTAGGGTAACGATGGCAGTATGCTCAGTAGGGTAACGATGGCAGTATGCTCAGTAGGGTAACGATGGCAGTATGCTCAGTAGGGTAACGATGGCAGTATGCTCAGTAGGGTAACGATGGCAGTATGCTCAGTAGGGTAACGATGGCAGTATGCTCAGTAGGGTAACGATGGCAGTATGCTCAGTAGGGTAACGATGGCAGTATGCTCAGTAGGGTAACGATGGCAGTATGCTCAGGGGTCAGTAGGGTAACGATGGCAGTATGCTCAGTAGGGTAACGATGGCAGTATGCTCAGGGGTCAGTAGGGTAACGATGGCAGTATGCTCAGGGGTCAGTAGGGTAACGATGGCAGTATGCTCAGGGGTCAGTAGGGGGAGCCACAATATCATCCCCAACACAAACACCTATACTCAGTTACAATAATTACTAGGTTCACTAAACACCATACACACACAACACTCCTACTACACTCCCTTGTTTAGCACCATAACACTGCAGCACTTTGCTTAAGTGGTCAAAACAGCAGACTATAAATCAGGAAACTGTAGCAGTTCCTGCTTTCTCATTCAACCCCCCCCCCCCATCCACACACTCCACCCCCCCACCCCGCCATACCTTGATGAGGTTAATCTGATGCTCAGCGCAGAGGGCTTCCACCAGCTTGACGTACATGGGCTCGTCACAGTTGGCCGCAAGAACGCAGAGGTGAGCCTGGCGCCTGGACAGAGGAGAGAGGAGAGCAACAATCAGTAGTCATTTACTATCACATCAGGAATATAACTAACAAAAGGTTATCTAGTAAGCCTCTGAAAGCGTCCCAAATGGCATCCCATTTCCTATGTAGTGCCAAGCCCAGCTCTAGTGGTCACAAGAAGTGCACTATGTAGGGAATAGGGTGCCATCTGGGAGGCAGAAGTATCTCAAGACAGATTTTTGGGTAACGATTGCAGTTCTCAAAGGATTCAGCCGTTACATGTTCAGAGCACGATAGATAGCTAATTAGCACAGGTGGTCCCTTGGGTCTTCTGTAAACACAGATATAGCCATGTGGGAACACAAACCCTATAAACGGATGTATCAATTCAATTTCTCTCCCCCCCTCCCTCACTGATGAAAGGTCTTTATGTTTCCAAAACAGAACTGCAAACAACGCATGTTAAGGTTAAGACAGCACGTCAGGCTCTTAACAAAACTCCCTTGTACAGAAGATGCCTTCATCCAAAGACTTAGCTAATAAAACTGTGGGTGAAAACAGACAAGAAATTAAAGCCCCAGCACCAAAGTATACTACTTTTTCCCCCCACCTTTATTTAACCAGGTAAGCCAGTTGAGAACAAGTTCTCATTTACAACTGCGACCTGGCCAAGATAAAGCAAAGCAGTGCGATAAAAACAACAACAACACAGAGTTACATATGGGGTAAACAAAACATACAGTCAATAACACAATAGAAAATCTATATACAGTGTGTGCAAATGTAGTGAGGTCCTCTGTAGCTCAGCTGGTAGAGCACGGCGCTTGTAACGCCAGGGTAGTGGGTTCGATCCCCGGGACCACCCATACGTTAAAATGTATGCACACATGACTGTAAGTCACTTTGGATAAAAGCGTCTGCTAAATGGCATAATATATTATTATTATTATAGTATGTTATGGAGGTAAGGCAATAAATAGGCAAAGTGCAAAAATAATTACAATTTAGTATTAACACAGGAGTGATATATGTGCAGAAGATGTGCAAATAGAGATACTGGGGTGCAAATGAGCAAAATAAATAACAATATGGGGATGAGGTAGTTGGGTGGGCTAATTTCAGATGGGCTGTGTACAGGTGCAGTGATCGGTAAGCTGCTCTGACAACTGATGCTTAAAGTTAGTGAGGGAGATAAGAGTGCACTTCTTTTGACCAGAGCCCCATGGGCCCAGCCCCTGGTCAAAAGTAGTACAGAGCCCTATAGGCCCAGCCCCTGTCAAAAGTAGTACACTAAATAGGGAGCCATTTAGGTCACACATGACCAGAAATGTTCACTCACTTGTCCAGCGCTTTGGCGGCCTCGCGGATACCGCGGGCCAGGCCGTCGTGGATGAGGGCTGTCTTGAGCACCTCGGGGAGAGCGGTGTTGACATCCATCACACCTCCGGCAGCGATGCTGGGGGGGGGGAGGGACAAGGAGAGGAGATGGGAGAAGAGGAGACGAAGAGTTAGTTAGCTACAACTAGCCCGTTATGATAAGTGAGGTGGGTTGAACGTTTGCATCCTCCCGGCGTGTCAGATAGGGGATCTCACTCATAATTTAGAGTGAAGGGGTATCCGACTAAAGAAAGTAAATCATCACACATGCGCCGGAAATTAACCAATATACTGTCAACTTACTACATTCACAGAAATAGCACGATAGGTAGTTACTTGGTTACAACCAACCAACATGCTTAGCTAGCTAGCGTTAACTGGGGGGGACCCCTCTGGTAAGGATGTTCCATTTTACTGTTATCAATAGTTCTGGAAGTGCACGTAGAGGCATGTAAATAATATTTTTAGGAACACATCACCACTTTACAAACAATGCAACTTTGAAACGTGCAATTTAGCTGGTTAGTTAACTAGCCCTGGTTCATCGCAAAGCGGGAATAGACCGGTCACGCTTACCCTTCCTCGGCCATTGTAGATTATCGATGGATGGGGGGACCTAAAATTCTGCAATATTGACCAAACATGATAGAAAAGTTATTATCCATGATGATAGGGTGACTGTAAGGAATTTCAAACCAAGGATGTTTGATAAATCGGACAGATGTTTTTGGCGAGATCAAGAAACCCACCCTATCTCCTCTGTGACAGCGAGTAAAGAGAACGTCATGTAGTCTGCGACATTCCTTTAAGTGCAGAAGGACCCGAGAAGTAGCTGGCCATTATTCTGCCTGTCTCTAATAAGTCGTTATCAATAAAACGTCACAATACGGTGTAGCAGAGCGTTTGGACAAGGATATTAATTTGGGAAATCCATTTGTAATATCGAGGACTATGAAGAAAGCAATGGGTAAGGTGGATTCAATCAATGTCACTAGAAGCGGCCCTGTTTTGGTTAATTGTGTGTTCTTCTTCGATGAGGTTTTAACGGCTGTTGGCATCCAATAAATGTTGCATTACTGCCACCTACTAGACTGGAGTACAACTCCCTTATACTTTGCTAGAAACAATTAATAACTAAACAAATACCCTACCATCTTATTATAATATATAGTATATCCAATAAACACATTATTATTATTATTATTATTATATTGTAACTACACTCACAATTTTGTTATAATAATAATGATAAATAACACCCCCCTACACTATTTAAATCTATTTAGTCCTACCTCAGGCCAACATACCACTACTTTCCCCAATGCTACACATTCCTTTGTCTCATGCCATTCTGCACACTTCTCACACCTTGGAACCTCCCTCCTACACACTGCTGCCACATGCCCATAAGCTTGACACCTGTAACAACGCAATGTATTCGGCATAAAAGCTCGTACAGGATAACTTATATATCCTCACATCACTTTGTCGGGCAAAGACTCAACATCAAAACTCAAAAGAACAGACAATGACTCTTCTGTTTCCCCACTCTCGCCCCCCTGTTTACCTCTCACCAAACGACGAGCATCACACACACCGGGCATCTTCCCCTTCAGTTGGTCAACTTTTACATTTACAGCTACCCCAGTAATCACTCCTTTCAATGGCACCCTTTTCTTGAGAGCAAAACAATTCACATCTCTTGCCCCCATTCGTTTAACACGGAGGGCCTGCTCCCTCTGACCAGCAGAAACACAAACAATTATCACAAGACCACTTCTGGTTACCCTCACCGATTCCACAGCACCCAACTCTGTTTTCACCCACCCTGAAACCACAAATGGATCAGTCAAAAGTCAAGGGTCCACTTTTTCCAAAAACGTCAGTCCTACTGTCACAGACTCATCTTTATCCTGACCCTCGGTGCTAGCCTCGGGCTTCGAGAACTTCACCACACCTACCACCTCCGATACTTCGCCCTCATTCTCTTCCATTTCTCCTCCTGTCTTCAACTCACTTACACTTTCAACCATTCTTCTTTAACAAACCATCTCCCTTTGTTCCTCCATTTTTAACCGACTCAAGCTCACCCTCTTCCTCCCCCTCTCTCTCTCTCAGACCTCCTCTGCCTCTCTTTTTCCCTCCATTCCTCCTCCGTATTCCAAGTATAACTCTCCTTATGATAATACTGCACTTCTCCTGACATACATCTTGTTCTTGCCTTCTCAAGGGACGCCATTTAACCGGCTGTCACAATCTCCGTACAATAAGCACGAACCCCTTCGGGATGTCGGTTAATTGTGTCGATGAAGAACAGAAGAAGTGTGCACTGGATCTAACAAAATTGATCACGTCAGAAGTGACATGTATTGATCTTCGGAGCAGGGCACCTGCCAAAGGAGTTATAGCTGGAGTCTCGTTGGATATAGATGATGAGTACCTTAGTCAGAAAATCCCAAGAGTGGTCAGTGCACGTCGCCTGGTAAATGGAAGGAAGGAGAAAATCCTGTCAACATTATTGTTGTTTGAGGAGACTCTACCTGAATCAGTGGAGGCCGCTGAGGGGAGGACAGCTCATAATAATGTCTGGAACGGCACCAATGGAATGGCATCAAACACATTGAAAACATGTGTTTGATACCATTCCACCTATTCCACTCCAGCCATTACCACAAGCCCGTCCTCCCCAATTAAGGTGACACCAACCTCCTGTGACCTGAATATGTGAAGCTTGGATATGTGAGGTATGCGGTGAGAGCATTTGTGTCCAAACCATTACAGTGTGGGAATTGTAAAGGATATGGTCATGTGTCAAATGTTTGCAGGCGGGAGAAGTATGGTATTGAAGAATCTGTGAATGGAAAATGTTGCAACTGTAGTGGGGATCATACTCTGGATTTCCTTGAGTGCCCTGTTAGGGTGAAGGAGGTCGAGTTGTCAAGAATCAGAGCAGCAGATCTCCTGTGTGAAGAGAGTCAAAGGGGCAAGAGGCAACAGTGTTGAAGATATGGTTGATATAGCAACCAGTTGCTAGCAATGTTCCCTCTGAGCGCAAACTTGAATCATGTGAAAATTCTATGCAACTTCCAGCGCGCGTTTACTGTGAACACTGAGGCTGTTTACTGTGAACACTGAGGCTGTTTACTGTGTACACTGAGGCTGTTTACTGTGAACACGGAGGCTGTTTACTGTGAACACTGAGGCTGTTTCCTGTGACCACTGAGGCTGTTTACTGTGAACACTGAGGCTGTTTACTGTGAACACTGAGGCTGTTTACTGTGAACACGGAGGCTGTTTACTGTGAACACGGAGGCTGTTTACTGTGAACACTGAGGCTGTTTACTGTGAACACTGAGGCTGTTTACTGTGAACACTGAGGCTGTTTACTGTGAACACTGAGGCTGTTTACTGTGAACACGGAGGCTGTTTACTGTGAACACGGAGGCTGTTTCCTGTGAACACTGAGGCTGTTTACTGTGAACACTGAGGCTGTTTACTGTGAACACTGAGGCTGTTTACTGTGAACACGGAGGTTGTTTACTGTGAACACTGAGGCTGTTTCCTGTGACCACTGAGGCTGTTTACTGTGAACACTGAGGCTGTTTACTGTGAACACTGAGGCTGTTTACTGTGAACACGGAGGCTGTTTACTGTGAACACGGAGGCTGTTTACTGTGAACACTGAGGCTGTTTACTGTGAACACTGAGGCTGTTTACTGTGAACACTGAGGCTGTTTACTGTGAACACGGAGGCTGTTTACTGTGAACACGGAGGCTGTTTACTGTGAACACTGAGGCTGTTTACTGTGAACACTGAGGCTGTTTACTGTGAACACTGAGGCGTGTTACTGTGAACACGGAGGCTGTTTACTGTGAACACTGAGGCTGTTTACTGTGAACACTGAGGCTGTTTACTGTGAACACTGAGGCTGTTTACTGTGAACACTGAGGCTGTTTACTGTGAACACTGAGGCTGTTTACTGTGAACACTGGAGGCTGTTTACTGTGAACACTGAGGCTGTTTACTGTGAACACTGAGGCTGTTTACTGTGAACACGGAGGCTGTTTACTGTGAACACTGAGGCTGTTTACTGTGAACACTGAGGCTGTTTACTGTGAACACTGAGGCTGTTTACTGTGAACACTGAGGCTGTTTACTGTGAACACCGAGGCTGTTTACTGTGAACACTGAGGCTGTTTCCTGTGAACACTGAGGCTGTTTCCTGTGAACACTGAGGCTGTTTACTGTGAACACTGAGGCTGTTTACTGTGAACACTGAGGCTGTTTACTGTGAACACTGAGGCTGTTTCCTGTGAACACTGAGGCTGTTTACTGTGAACACGGAGGCTGTTTACTGTGAACACGGAGGCTGTTTACTGTGAACACTGAGGCTGTTTACTGTGAACACTGAGGCTGTTTCCTGTGAACACTGAGGCTGTTTACTGTGAACACTGAGGCTGTTTACTGTGAACACTGAGGCTGTTTACTGTGAACACTGAGGCTGTTTACTGTGAACACTGAGGCTGTTTCCTGTGAACACTGAGGCTGTTTCCTGTGAACACTGAGGCTGTTTACTGTGAACACTGAGGCTGTTTACTGTGAACACGGAGGCTGTTTACTGTGAACACTGAGGCTGTTTACTGTGAACACTGAGGCTGTTTACTGTGAACACTGAGGCTGTTTCCTGTGAACACTGAGGCTGTTTACTGTGAACACTGAGGCTGTTTACTGTGAACACTGAGGCTGTTTACTGTGAACACGGAGGCTGTTTCCTGTGAACACTAAGGCTGTTTCCTGTGAACACTGAGGCTGTTTACTGTGAACACGGAGGCTGTTTACTGTGAACACTGAGGCTGTTTACTGTGAACACTGAGGCTGTTTACTGTGAACACTGAGGCTGTTTCCTGTGAACACTGAGGCTGTTTCCTGTGAACACTGAGGCTGTTTCCTGTGAACACTGAGGCTGTTTACTGTGAACACTGAGGCTGTTTACTGTGAACACGGAGGCTGTTTACTGTGAACACTGAGGCTGTTTACTGTGAACACTGAGGCTGTTTCCTGTGAACACTGAGGCTGTTTCCTGTGAACACTGAGGCTGTTTACTGTGAACACTGAGGCTGTTTACTGTGAACACTGAGGCTGTTTCCTGTGAACACTGAGGCTGTTTACTGTGAACACTGAGGCTGTTTCCTGTGAACACTGAGGCTGTTTACTGTGAACACGGAGGCTGTTTACTGTGAACACTGACAGAAAGACAAAGACTAGGGTTTTGGGGACTGAGACAGCTGACTTTTGAGGGCAAGGTTTTAATCATCAAGGCTGTGATTTTACCTGTCCTTTTATTGATCAGTTCTGTTTTTATCCCCCCACGAAAAACTCTTTTAGCTCTGGACCGGATGTTGTTTTATTTTTTGTGGGGATACTGTGAACACTGAGGCTGTTTCCTGTGAACACTGAGGCTGTTTACTGTGAACACTGAGGCTGTTTCCTGTGAACACGGAGGCTGTACCCGCTTTAAGTTACAGTGGCCATGTAGGCTACTGTGGCCATTGGATCATAATGTAGGACTACCATAGTGGTCTACCATCAAAAAAGAAATTGAGAAAATACATCCCATAACGTTTTAACATGGAAATAGCTGTTCTATCATTCAGCCTACAGTAGAAGCCAATGTGTGGTGTTCAATGTAGGCCTAAAGTGCCTTGCAAAAGTATTCATCCCCCTTGGCGTTTTTCCTATTTTGTTGCATTACAACCTGTAATTTAAATTGATTTTTATTTGGATTTCATTAAATGGACATACACAAAATAGTCCAAATTGGTGAAGTGAAATGAAAAAAATTACTTG